GAAACTTATTTATCTAAGAATTTCTTCACTATCCGACTTTTATGTTTTGGATCATTATCCTGTTGTAATCGCCAGCATCGATTAAATTGCTTTTTGACATTGATAATAAGGTGGTCTTGAAGGGTTTGGACGCAATAAGCACCATTCATAATAGTTGTGAATGAATGATAGCCGACAAGACCCTTGATGCTGAAACCACCCCACACCCTATTGGAGAGAGAGATCTTCTTTGATTCTTACGTTTTCTCTTCTAGTTAATATTCCTGCTAATGTCACAGAATAATTTATACAGAATTTAATAAAAGATATTCTATAACATAGAAGTAAGAAATATGCGATTTTCTAAATAGCAAATGCTCTNACAGAATTTAATAAAAGATATTCTATAACATAGAAGTAAGAAATATGCGATTTTCTAAATAGGAAATGCTCTAATTACTTAGATTTAAGAGAGCGAAAAGAATTCTAATAAAATATTTTGATCATAGGAAATACAACATAACAAGCTCACACATATACGAAACATCGAAATTACATTAACAAAGTTCTAATATTCATGTGAGCCATATATAAGAAATAAGTCGTTATATTATTACGAGTGTCTGTTCATAGAAAATAGACTCATAGCTAGCTATTAACTGAAATAATGAATACACATGAGACGAGACGAAACAACAATGACTCGATAGTATGTAAAGTCATTATTGAAATGATTCCCCGAAAACAAGTAGCGATATCTGAGAAGCATTTTCTTAACATTCAAAATGCGATGAATGAATAAATTTGTAGAAATCTTACAACCAAAAACTTTTAAACAAATGTTAACAAGACAATGATGTAATTATATGTTCCTACATAATTATTTAAGTTTGATTTTCTACAAAATATAGAATTTAAATACGCTTGAGAAAGAGAGAACGATATGCTATATGTGTGATTCATTCTATCGAATAATCTTCCAGTATAGAAAAACTTATTCTGAGGAATTTCCAAAAAATAATGATCTATTCAAAGAATTTTGCCCGACACTTTCGAAATTATTTCATATACTAGCTATACTCGAGAGAGAGAAAGAGATCTCCTTTTATTCTTACATTTTCTCTTCTATTTAATATTCTTGTAGATACTAAATGGGTACAGAATGGTGTGACTATTGCTGGAGGTAACGGGGGTGGGGGTGCCACTAATCAACTCAGCATCCCTCATGGTCTCTTCGTTGATGATGATCAAACAGTGGTTATTGCTGACTACGATAATCATCGTATCGTCCAATGGAAGAGCGGGGATACAACGAATGGACAAGTCGTTGCTGGTGGTAAAGGTCTAGGAAATGGATTGAATCAATTGCAATATCCAACTGATGTGTTAATTGACAAAGAGACGAATAGCCTTATTATTTGCGATCAAGGG